ACTGATAGAATGAATGAATGGTTGACCCCTATGGTCAGGCTTCTAATCTCACAGTCCACTTTATAACTTGAGCCTCTGTCTTGTCCTATATGCCCACCTTCCTACCTAGGTGAGCCCTTTGCTTACTCCAGGCCAACTGGGCCAGGATCCTTGTCTCTGGCCATACTTTGTAGGGGCCAAATAGCTGTTCTGAGCACCAGCAGAGCTGAGATATTCATGCCTGCTGCATGTCTCCCAGTCCTACCTTTGCCACTGCCTCTGTTTTTCTGTTAGCTCAATGGCACATCCCAATCTTGACAATTTTCTGTCAGTTGCCTATTTCTAGGAGCCATAGATGTCTGTCCCATGCTAGTGGAGGACACCTGTGGGGAGGCCTATTGTCCACATTCTTATTCCATCATATTTATCTTTTGAGCTCTGAAGAGACTGTTTCTCTTTCCTTTTCTGACAAGAACTGCTGTGAATTAAAATCTTTCAATCAAGATAATTGTTCTTTCTACATATCTGCGCATCTATGTATCTATCTTCCATGTGTCCTGAATGTGGGATCTGAGAACAGGGGTTTTTCTCTATTTTTTGTTCTTTGCTGTTTCACTGGTTCCTGGAATAGTGACATACCCATTGGAGTCACATGATATACAATGATTTGTTGAATGAATGAATGAAGGATTGTCATTGCATTAAGGATAATGGTGGATAATTTTGCCATCACTGAGTCCCCAAGTACGAATATTAAGAAAATCAACATAAACTAATGATTCCATTTGAAAGAAGTTATAGAGTGAATGCCATGATTATTGATTACATCTTTGCTGTTCAAATCCATTGTTCTTTGGTCTTGAAAAGGGAGTAAACAAGAAGAAAATAAAATTGTGGATAACTCACTAGAAATGCTATTAAAGGTACAAAATAACAGATGGAACTTCAGAGTCATATATCACAACATACACAAGAATCCATTTTAAAATTTGAAAACTTGGCATTGGGAAGTTTCAGAATATCCAGATGTTAGATAGGATGTATAAACATTGTACAGTGAACATTTTTATTTTTCATAGTGAGAGCAAGGCTTAAGGCAATTAGAACAATAGTGAAGCAAGCTATATTTCCTTGTGAGGAAAAATAGCAATTTCTCGGCCTTTCTAAGATAGGAAATATAGAAAATATCTCAGGGCATAACAACCTTGGTGAGAAAACTTTAAGATCTCAAAGAGATGCCTGTACCCCCATGTTCATTGTAGAATTATTCACAGTATTCAAGATGTGACAACCACCTAGATGTCCACTGAGAGATGAATAGATGAAGAAAATGTGCTGTACACATACAATGGAATACTATTCAATCTTAAAAAAAAGAAAAATTCTGCAATATGTCATACATGGATGAACCTTGGAAACATTACGCTAAGTGAAATAAGCTAGGCAGAGAAGGACAAACACTGTTTGCTTCTGCCTATATAAAGTGGCTAAAATAGTCAAATTCAAAGAATTAAAGAGTGGGATGTTGCCAGATGCTGAGGAGTGAAAATAGTTCTTAGTCAATGAGTGTAAAATTTCAGTTTGGCAAGATGAACAACCTCTTAAGATTTGCTGTACAATGCTGGACCTATAGTCAATATTACTGTGTGGACTTAATTTGTTAGAAGAATACTCTCATGTGTTCTTACCATTATAAACTAAACAAGGTTTAAATATGCACACAAAGAAGAGAAAGATCCCAAATTTCAGCAATGTCTATGTGACTCTTGGGAAGATTAGTGGGTCCAGGAAGGCAAATTGCCCTTGGCCATGGCTTCCAGGCATCTCCCACCTCTTAGTCTCTTCATCTCCTGACTCTACTGAGGGCAGGAGAAATATTGTATTTAAAATATAAGTATAAAGTATTTAGGATAAGCATGAGATACTAGATGTCCTATATTATTATTTGCTGAATCTGACAATCCTATTCCTCGTATCACCTCTGAAATAATTATAATTTTTGTGCTGTAAGAGGGTTTAGTTAAGAATAAGCAACACTAAAGAAAATTGTAGGAAGTGCTTTCACACCCCCTTAACTTACCATCTTTTTCACCTCAGTAGCCTGCAAAGCCACTTACCACACTGGACCTCAAATCACCACTATTTGTGGGGCTGTTTCTCTCCCAGTATTACTAAGCAGGTGGGGGTGAGGAAAGAAAGGGTTAGTTCATGGTGGTTTATTGAGTGCCTTTGCAAGGATGCTCTATCTGTTGGAGGTTTTAAGCCAAACTGTACCACACTTAGAGGGGTTGGGAATGGCACAGGAAGGGTGTTTTGGGGAGGGATGCTCTGGCCTGAGTGGGAAACAGTTAATCCTCAGGGTTTGCAGATCTTGTATTTTGGACTTCACCTATTGTTTAAAGTCTATTTGTAATCCCCAAATTGAGCTGGGGATTTAGCTCAGTGGTTCTGCCACCTGCCTCGCAAGCGCAAGGTCCTGAATTTGATCCCTGGTACCCCCTCAAAAATCTTGTGTAACCCCCAAATCAATACTCATGGTGCTTTCTTGGTCAATCACATAAAAGCACAGAGAGGCAAAAAGTCTGAGTAGCCTAGCACACATGTTCCCACTACAGCTCCAACCCAGTAACAATATACCTTCTTGTTTCAGCTCTTGTTTTATAAATAAAAAGTCTTTTTCAAAGTGTATTTAGTGCCATTTTTTTGTTTGCATTTTTGTGTTTTCTTTGATTTCACTGTTTAAAATGGCCACCAGTCTAGTTCTGAATGACTGCCTGGTGTTTCTAAGTACAAGAAGGCGATAATGTACCTTTCAGAGAAAATATGTGTGTTTTATAAGCTTTATTCAGGCATGAAGTGCTGTTGGCCATGAGTTCAGGGTAAGTGAATCAACAATATGTATTAAATTAGGTATTTTAAAGCAGAAACAGACACAAAACAAGAATACGTATTGTTCTGTTGATGAAAATGTTGTGAACACAACCCTGAAGGAACCTAACTTGCATTTCCACTAGGAGCAATGGTCAATCTTCATTTCAGTGTTTGCAAGGACTCCAATAGAACTTAACTACGGTGAATAATGAGAATTGACCCATATCTTTTAAATACTTCTTATGTGTAGGATTGTGACAGACATTTCAGCAGGCAGGTATGGACAACTTGGGAGTCATGGAGATGCATTACTGAAATGTTTCTCAAAAGAAGGAAAAACCTGGCTGATTATATTAGGAAAGGGAGAGGGGGATGCAAATGGAGTTGCTAGTTCTCTATACACCAAAGGGGATCCTTTTGAGAAAATACCAGCGGCAAGCTTTCCTGCTTCTGGCATTTATTTTTCCTTTACAAAGTTAATTTTTATTCTCACTTTTCAAGAAGAAAGTTTCTTGGCAGCTGATAATGGTACTTAACGGGAATTTATTTTGGGATCAGATATCTCTGCACTCCGCTCTTAGAAAACCCAAGCAGGCAACTAGCAGTGGATTGCTTCAGAACTTGACAACCATAAGGTTAAGATGTTTCTTGAGATTTTCAATAATGTAGTTAGAGAAGGCCAGAAAGAACCAATTTATCGATGTTAGCCCCTTTACCCCATTTTGTCCGAATGACTCAATCATTGTGCTGGATCTTGTTTCTTCTGGGAATTCTAAGGGGTGTTAGAATGAAATTACTACCACTCAAACATTTTGTTCTTGTTGTTTTTGAAGGAAAGCCTTGTCCAAAAGGCTTCTCTTTTCTCCTTTCCTGGAGTGAAATACAGAGATCTTTAAACAAAGCTGGATAGGTGGCTTAGAAGATGTTCCTCCCATCGAGCCTTCAATTTTTTAAAGTATCTATTACTGAGAAACAGGCTTCTCAGGTCCTGGCTGGCTATGAAGTGCTTAATAACCAGCAGCTCCATCTTTGAGTTCTTTCCTGCTGTGTGTCAGACTCAGCTGGCCCAGCCCAGGAGGATGGAGAACTGACTTTGCTGTTTTTCTGCTTCTTTGCTCTACTCCCCTCATTGAGTCAAGGTCCCTGGTTTTCATTCTCCATCTTTCCCACTTTCATTTTCAGGAAAAATCACCAAGAGTTTCTGAGAATATAAACTGGTGTGGACATTTTGTATGATCAATCGGCAATGTCAATCAAAATTTCACAGGTACTCAGCTTTAATCTATCAATTCTGCTTCTAGAAATTTTATCCTACAAATAAATGTACAAAGATATAGGTATAAAAATGCTCATAAGGTGTTTCTAATAATAAAAACAAAATGACCCCCCATAAAAAACTTAAAGACAACTTTCAATATCATATTTGAAACCCATTAGAAAGATAAAAGCATATCTCTGTGTACTGACCTGGAATATCTTTAACTTTTTATCAATGATATACGGCAAGTTAAAGGAAATATGTAATATAGGCAAATTTGTAGAAATGAAAAGAAAATGTGTGCACAAAAAATGTATAAAAGGATAATACCAATCTGTTGATAATAGTGATCTTTGAGGCTATTTGAATTTGGTATGAGGTGGATGGGGAGTGGGAGAACAGTTGGTGGCTTTTACTTTTTATTTTATATATATATTTCATTGTTTCTTTTGTTATAATACACATGGATAATTTTATAATGCTATAGCAATTTTTATGTCTTATTTTTATTCAGAGAACTCGTGTGGAGAGGCAATGATTACACCATCATTTACCTATTGAGTCACCTCAGGTGATATTGTTGGGCTGCAACACTCAAGTATGCTGCCATAATCATCCATTTTATTGATACGGGATGGATTTCAATTTTTACACCTCATATTTAGTGTTGCCCCAGTACCCTGTTTAGGTCTGACATTAATTAACTGGAGCCCAGGTATACCTAGTCGCCTTTGGCCTAAGAAAAACTTTACCTCATTGTGTGGCTAGAGGCTCAGCCTCTTGTTTCTCTCACTAACCTGAAACTAATACATCTCACAATTGCTGACAACGTTAAAAACTAATTGTCAACACGTGAGTCCAGTAAACAGTTTCCTTCCTTGTAGGTGTGTTCTTTGAACCACCCAATCCACAACCTGCATGGGAAAGCCTAAGGGATAATGTTGTGGAGCTTCCTAAAGCAAGCCCTTCCAGACATCTCTTGCTTCCTTTCGCTCCTCCTTGCTTATTGAGCTCTCTGCTGTTATGGACTTCTAGACTTCCCGTCAGTCTCCTTTCAGCACCCCAACCTCTCTGGGACCTGTGAGTAGTAAGTTTCTTGTTTCATGAATTTTGGTTTCACACCCTCATCCTGTCTCACCCGACACACATGACACATCTGAATCTCTGTGCGGAATCAGGGCTCTCCTAGAGAGCAGCTAGCTTGGCTTATGGCAGCTCTTGATAGAGGAAACTCAAGAGCAAATTGGAAAAATGTCTCAACACTGTTCAACGGGTATCTGTGATGTATCAATGGATAGGTATGGAGAGTATTTGGCCATGAAAAGAGGAGCTGCCGAGAAGGAGGACTAGTTAAAAGAGATTTAGTTTATAAGAGTTGAGAACTCTCGAAATGGCTGTGTATTCACTAAAACTTAATGACCTTGACCTATGTGTTTGGGTCTCATGTAACAACACTGATTTTCCTTGACAGATAACAGGAGCAAGAAAGAAGGATATTAAAGAGTTACTCTGGTCTGAATCCACAGTGAAAATTCCAGCAGCTGAGGTATCAAAGTGTCATCCATATCAGTTAAAAATATGTGTGAAGCCTCCCCATCTGTTTGTTGAAATGGCATAATTAGTTATATGCTCTATAAAAATGATTTGACTCATCCAGTCCTGAACAACCACTTTGCTCGCTTGTTTTAGGTATTAGGCATGATTTAAGTATTGAGTGGATTATTCACTTGTGCTTGATAAAGTTGGCATCAAAGTATCAAAGCATTTCAGTGCTGTGGAGCTGACTGCTGTTAAGGTCTGAAGCACTGATTTTTATGTCTAAATTCACTCCACCATCTGTTGTGATGGGAGAAAACTCTTCTCGTTGCTTACTTAAAAATATTAATGAAGAAACGTCCCTGAAGATTATATGTAAAAATGTCATTCAACTTTAGGCTGTTATGTTATTTTTTGGTACCAGGGATCAAATTCGGGTCCTTGTGCTTGCACAGCAGGCAGCGAAACCACTGAGCTAAATCTCTGGCTCTAGGCTCTTATGTTTTAAAACATGTAGAAATTAGATGAGTCAGTGAGACAAGGAAAAAATTTTTGTGTCCAAAAGTAAGGAAACATTTTCATCGCAGACCTTAGGGATGATGTCAAAGAACAATTAGGTAACTTTGCTAGCCAAGAAGAATCCATATGATCTGTGAATATCCCTTGAATAGAAGATAGGAAAGAGGCAGGGGGAAACATCAAGACTTACCTCTGAGCAATTAAGAAATATTGAATAAGTGAACATAGGGATCTCCTGTGGACAGGTGGGAGTGGTGCTTAGTACTTCCTGGTGAGCATAGTGTTTTCAGTATTATTGTATTGAAGCCTGTCTCCCCCTTTAGATTTAATAGTGTTTAGTTTTATAAAATTGAGTGTTCTAACATTGTTGGAACATAAACTTACAGTTGTTACATCTTGTTGAATTGATTGCTTGATCATTGCCTAGTAACCTTCTTTGTCACTTCCTATAGCTTTTGTTTTAAGGTCCATTTTTTTCTGATTTAGTATAGTTATTCTTGCTTGCTTTAGGCTTATTTGCATAGGATATCATTTTTTGACCTTTCACTTTGAGTCTCTGTGTGTGTTTACAGATGAAGTGTGCTTCTTGGAGGCAAAATATTGTTGGCTTTTTTTGTGTGTGTGGTCCCTTGCCTTATTCCTGGACTTTTAATAAGTTCATATATAGCCAATCACACCTTTGGCCTCAGATGTCAAATGTCCTGGTCTTCTGGCTCTCTAGAGTATTATTGCCCTCTGCATTCTAGCATCTGTCTCTTACAGTATAGGTAACCCAGTGGGCTTGAGTAAGAGTAAATCTACTGAGGCAAGTTGCATTCATGATGCTCCCAAATCTAGTACAGTGGAATATCTGTGCAGTTCCAGATGCGGGAATGTGCAAGGGTTTCTGAACCCTAGATCAATCTAAACTCAGAGAGGATCTCACTTCTCCTGACTACTGCATTCCTGAATCCTTTGAGGGGAGGATGTGAGATCCTTTTCCAAAGCAAGTGTAGTACTGTGCAGATTTCAGGTTACTTATTTTATGCAAGCCTGTGAAGATTGTGAAACTTTCCAGCAGCTAAGATTGCCAGTGTCTGCACTGATAGTTCTGGGATTCACCCTTTCATTCATATATAGAGGAGACTATACCTCCTCTAGCTGTGGAGCCAGGATGGCAGGTGCCAGGGTATTTTGTTTCTCCTACTATACTGTTGTTCCAGGTCTCAGAATCTTAAAAAGTTCATCGTTCTCTTGATGAGTCCCAGTGTTCTTCCACATTCACTCATCTCAAAATTCAGATACACACTTGTGACTTTGGTTGTCCTTTATCAAGGAGGAAGTAAGTGCTGGGCTCCATTATTCAGTCACCTCAGATCTCTTCTTGGTGATTGGTGTTAGAGATTTTTAATCCTCTGCTCTTCTGGAATATTCATAATTAGTGGTGTATTCATTTTTTATGGGCCCTTTGAGGATATGACTAGTCTTAGACTTTCTCTATAGGAAAATGTACATTTATGTGCATGCACCAACATTATCAAAAAATTACAGTGGGCTTATATAAGGTGACCAGTTGTCTGCATGTGCAGTCTTCCTCAGGACTGAAGAGTTCTTTGGGACTCAGGGCATTCAGAAGACCAGAATGATTGGTTACCATGATGTGTGTACTCCCAAAAGTTCTTTTGTGAATTTATTTATTTATTTATCTTTTTTGGTACTAGGGATCAAACTTGGGTCCTTATGCTTGCACAGCAGGTGGCGAAACCACCGAGCTAAATCCCCGGCCTCTTTTGTGAATTTTTAAGTGCTCAAGTATCCTTCCTGAAGCTGTTAACATAGCAGAAAATATTAAGTAATTACTGAGGATCTACTGAGAGTGGATAGAGAATAGAGCTGATGAAGGAAATATTTTGGCTGTCACTGATGTAAGGATAACTGCATAGTAGACTTCTGTATAATAGGACTTAGAGAAAACAGATCCTACAAACACTGATATCACCACTTTGGGTGACAAGATGAGCGGGTATTTATTGATGAATTTCCATAGTTACACCCACTCCTTTCCATTCATCAAAAATAACCAGTAGTCTAAATTTTGATACAACAATTATGAAATACCAGTTGAGGGTGAGGATGTCCTCATGATGCAGGAAGATGAGCATGATGAAGAACACTTAGACCATCTCTTCTAGGAGACCTTTTCTAACACACGGAAACCTAGTCACTGTCATATACAAGTAGTTAGGCTAGTGAGTGTTTCTTGTAGCTGAGTCATTTTGTCAGCAACCTCTGAGAGAGACTAATTAAGTAATCCCTTGTCCTTGAGGGCAAGTTATGTATTCACTAGATATGAATTTTGACAAACTACTGCTGTATGACTTTCACAGTAATTTTTATGGTCTATATCGTTAAGAAATAACATTAATCCCACTTAAGAAATAACATTAAACTCAATGGATTTACAAAGAATTTTCAAAAGGCTTATTGTCATGTTTTGTTTTGGGTATGTAGTAGAAAGTAATCCAGGAAGCTCTAATAGACACCTTCTGGAGAAAGTAGCTTTTAGCCATTCTTTCTGTACAAAATGCGCTAAGCTAGTACCCATGGCCTACAACCCCTTTTACTGCCTTGCCCAGCTACCTGAAGCAGGGAAAGCAATTCTGGTAGATAGTGCTAAACCTCTCCAACATCTGCTCTCTTTTGTTCCTGGTAGAGAAGTAGTCACATGACCTTATTGTCAGAAGGTAGGGCCATGATGCCATATCACTCTATCTGGACAATGAATTTATGAGCAAATGTAGTACTCATCACTTCCAGGGTGAAATGCCAGAGCACACCTGAAATGTGCAGGCACTGTCTTCCTGTACTATTGAAGAGGAAGTTGTATGTAGAGTTGGTGGAGGCATAAGATTGAAGCAGTCTTGGAAGGGGCTATCTTTGATGGTTATCAAATCAAGAATAGATGTTGAATGTGTCACAAATAAACTTTTTACTGGGTTAGGCTCCTGGGATTTCAGTTAATTTACTGTTTCAGTATACTTTGGCCTATTCTGGCTATTCTGCATCAAACCAAGAACATCCAACAATAGATGATCACAAGAGAAGATGCTGTTTTTGACCTAACTTGTGTAAGAGCTCTCTCCAATAGAGGAGTCCATATGAAATGTCAGCAACCCAAGCCAGCCAACACTTACTTCTCAAATACACTCAGAAAGGGCGAGTTATATGAGCTCAAAGTCTGTTTTCCCAAAGGTGACCCATTTTTCTCTGAGAGCTGTTCTATGTCTTAGCCTTAAAATTGCTGGAACTGAGAGCAGCTAAGGAGAGAAATGTATAGTAGTCTGTGTTATCCTATATTCACTTGTATCCTTGTGCTAAACCCACAGTATCTAAGAGCAATTTTCAAACCTTTGTAAGTGCATGCCCTTGGCATCTGTGGGGGAAAAACAATTGAGTGAATAGCTTGTCAGAATCTTCAATTTTCTTTGACAGTAATAATAACTAACATTTACATGACATGCAAATTTGGGAATCATTCCATATTTTCAACCTCTTGATGAGGCCTTCTCTGACCACCCTATTTGAAGGGGTAAGCACTCCCCCATGCTATTACCCCTCATACTCCTTCTCTGCTTTATTTTTTCCTAGCCTTTGTCATCATCTAATATATGAAAATTTTTGCTTAGTTGTTATATTATTGAATGAAAGCCCCACAGAGACAGAAATTATTGCCTACTTTTTCCCTGTTGACTTCGAGAGCCTTGAGGAGTTTCTAGCACATGGTAGATGTTTGTTGAATGTGTTGTGCTGTGTAACCAAATGGAGACTCTATAATTTACCATAATTCTGTGAGGGTGAGTGAGGTTGAGGTGGGGGGTAAGGCAGTTAACTCAGCAGGGCTGCTTCCCCCAAAAGGGTCCTCAGTACAGAAGAGGCATGAGTCTTGGAATGAGCCAAACGGGACAAACACTTTCATAAAGGGTCAGAGAAAGATGATAATGGTCCTTGGATTCAAATTCAGATTTGTTTAGTTCTATAATTTTTATTCACTTATATTTGGAATATAAGTGGAATTTGGATTCATTTACTGAAGAAACCTATGCTAATATCTGTTTAGTGGAAACTGAACTTGGTGTTGGACTTCCAAGTTGAGTGAGGTCCTACATTTCCCATTTTGAAGCTGAGTGGCTCTAGATTTTTCTCCATTTGTATTTGTACTCCTCAGCCCATAGTCTAGTCTTCCTCCTCAATTTCTCCCTATGCTTAGGAATACTGACCTCTATGGACTGCCTCACACCAGCTCCCTTGTCCTCTGGTTTCTTGTTGGGATCACTCAATGGGGGGGGGGTACCAGCAAGATATCAGAGTTCACAAGAAGAGAATGGTTGAGATATAAGTGCTTAATTCCAATACAGCTATTATCCCCTGTCCCTTTCTTGCCTCCCTGTTACAGCAATAGGTTCTGTTGAGTGGCTACTCTTTTTTTGTGGTACCATGGATCGAACTCAGAAC